AATAAGCGTGATTTACAGCAGTCATGAAGCAACCACCAAGTGTTTCTCCACTGAACCATATTTCTGGTAATCCTTTCTTCTCGTGACCTTAGAGACAGATTGAATTATATAAAAGAAATCTGTTGGTTTTTCGTGTCATTTTCAAAAATTAAAAATAGTATCACTCAGTTTGATCACTTACACTATTCACTAGCTACGGTGCTTAAATGTTCTTGGTTGTATCCAAGTTTCAAATCAAATTTCAAACAAAATACTTGTAAGTTATAAAAATAATGTAACAGTCCAACAGGGGAAGTAGTAAGTAAATGTATGTACAATAATCTACATTTCAATACAGAAAAACTATGTGGAAAAGAATCTTAAACTGCACATACAATAAGAACAAAATATGTAGGATGCAACCTGATGGCATCACCTAAGATACAAAATCTGAAATCTTCCATATGGCATTCGAGAGCTGGTCACCGCTCACCTGCACAACAACCTCTTCTATCACCTTAAGAGGTTCTTTCTACCCAGCAATACCTAATGCTTGGAACTCCTAAATTGCCATCCACGTATTATATCTACGCTCTCCTCCTCTTGTCCATCTAGCAAACTCTTTAATTTATCCTTCACGACATGCAAACACTACCTCTCCTATGTTGGCAAACCAGACTCCTCTGAACAGATATATAGATTACATTCTCACACTCCCACTCCATTACAGCAATTATCTGATTTTTACTATTATTGTCCACAAACCCTTCCAAATTAGTTGAGATAATGTACTATTATCCTTGCATATTTTTATTCCCATAGTCCAGCAAACTGTCTGACATATATTAATAGTGACATTCTGATAGAATGTTTAAAATGTTTACAGAGGTTCCTATGCCCGTTAAAGATGGAGCAAGCACGCTCCACTTTGTTTCCTCCCATAAAATGTAGACATCAAACCTGGACAAAATGCATGGAGCAGCTATTTGAGAACTGTGCAAAGTACCGTATTTCCCCATGTATAAGACACACTCTTTTCTGAAAAATTTGGAGTCTAAAAACTGGGTGCATCTTATACAGTGGTTGTAGATTTTTTTTTACTTGTGTTTCCTGCTGAGGACGAGGCAATATATGAAGACAGCGATTCGTCATCAGACACAGACAAGGACAAGCTAATGGTTGGGAGTTTTGAAAGTGATGAGGAGTTG